TGACAAAACAACAAAATTCATTAATTAAAAATGAAAAATTATTTATTATTTATTCTTTTTATACATTGCATAATTATTTATATTGCTGATTAAAACTTTATATTGAATAACAAATTTAAAAAAATTACTAATTTTTTTATTTGTAATTTTTTTTAATTATATAATAATTAATAAATATTTTATTAGTTGATAATCTTAAAAACAATTTTTGAGAATTTTTTCAGCATTTCTTATATTTCTTTAGGAATTATAATGTAAAATCAAAAAATCACGGAACATTCACGAACTCAACTTAATAAATAAATAATTTAGAGCAGCAAAAAAAAATATTATATATACTTAAATAAATACTACATATTTCCAAAATTTCATAATTTCTTACATTTTCGACTTAGGAATGTTTCTTATAATATGTAAATAATCGATATTTATTTAAATATAATTTCAAGCACAATCGTTAAAAAACTCATTTAATGATATAGGTATATATAGGTATATATAGATATATATAGGTATATATAGATATAAGTAATAAAGTCCAATAATTTTAATTTTTACAGATTTACTTGTAAATAACAATTCTATACACCGAATCGTGATTTTATTAGAAATAAAATGATTAAATATTATTTATTTAATATTTTTTTTATTTAATTATATTTTATTTATAAATCTATAATATTATTCAAAAGAATTTAATAAAAAATTATTTCATTTATAATTCAAAGAAAATATATACATAAACATTAGGATAATAGGCTTATATATTTGATTAATATATTATATAAAATATATATTATACATTATATTTTAAATAATAGTAGTGGAATAAAAGAATATAATGTAGTATTTTTTGAACTAAAACGAAAAAGAAAAACAAAAGAAAAGATTTTAATAAATAGAATTATTATTTACAATTATTATTTACAATTCTTGTGTTAATCTTATTTTACCAACGTTACCATATACATTAGTATAATTTGTAAAATAATAAATCCAAAAATTTGATTTTCTGTTTTAATTATTATATTAATTTTTTTTTATTCTGATTACTTATTGTATCAGGATTTATTGATCTTCATTTTTCGGTGAATTTGAAATCAAAAGCACGTTATTGATTTAGATTTTTAAATCTTTATTGATAATATCTAAGAATATTCATTATTAGAAAGAAGTAATCCGAAAAAAAAAAGATGAATTAATGAGAGTGATAAAAAAACGCTTTTTAAAATTCCTATTTGTAACATATATATTAATCCGACACGATTAGGGAAATAGTATAGTAATGTAACATAATGTAACATATATAATATAATATAACATAAATAAATTAAATATAATGATTATTCTATCAAAATTATTAATAATTTCAAAAATACTTTAGCAAAAGACCTCTCTTGTCCTCCACGATTCGGCGAGAGTTCTTTCCAATATTGAATAATATATGTTTATTTGAATAAATTTTTCATATAAGAAATTGTTCAAAAAAAAATTTATTCAGTAAAAAAAATTATTTATTATTTACGAATAATTCTGTTTGTTTTAAGCTTTTATAAGATTTTTTGAAAATTTGAATAAGAATTTAAATATTCTATGTAGGAAAAGAAGGCACTAATAATAATTTGACGAATAAAATTGTGATTTATAAACACAATAAATATTATATTATACTGTTCAATTTTCATTTTCTGTCTAATTATGAAGAGCCAGCGTTATCATTGGCTCTTTAAATATTCATTCATGAGATGATTTTATTATTATTTCTTTTTATCAAAAAATGAAAAAAATATATTGTTTTTGTTGCTATTCAAGAAATATAATTTAAAAAATATGAAATAAGAATACCAAATAAGAACAATTAAGATTATATATTCTTTTAATAATATATGCATGATATTATTTATTTTTAAATGATAATAGTTTTTAATAGATTAACAAAATATATATAGACACATAAATATATTGACGAAACTAATTATTTATATAAAAAAACCGTATAATTTTTAAAACAAAAAAATTCCTTATTAATATTAATAAAATATATATAGATATATAAATATGAATGAAACTATAATTATTAATATAAAAAAACTATATAAGTATCAGGACAATCTCTTATTGCAACTTATTTTTGTCGCAAGAATAAAAGTGTTATTAAAAATAACCAAATATAATATTTGAGGAATATAAAAAATGATAAAGAAAAAACAATAGCGATTAGAATAAAAAATTCTTATATTCTTATTTAATTATGAATATAATGTTATATAATGAAGTCCAATTAAATGAGACAGAATATTTCACAAAATGGAATACCTCAATTGAATAGTATCGTTTGAAGAATTATACCCAGACTGTATAATTATTGTTTGTATTATGATCTTTGAGTGAATGGTAATTGACTTTATTTACGACTGACTAAATGCTATCTGATCTGGAAAAAGGTTGCGATTTCTTAAGTTTTCCTCCAATCATTATCTTGTGTGAAAATACAAACTAAAAAAGGGTTAGAAAAAAGTAAATAGTCACATTGAAGGGATGTTTCGAAGAATGGACATTCTCATCACAGTACGTGAGGACTCAAAATCTTTACGATCGCTTGTATGGTGATTCCTAAGATATATTTGGTGCATAAGTATGACTTATGAAGTGGTTATCGCTGTTATATTTTCGTTTCGATTTCTAATGAAGATCTTAAAGATTTGTTAAGAAATTGTAAATTATTATTAAACTATTAAAAATGCTGAAGCCATTAAAGTTGTCTGGCCGTTCAATAAGTTCTGGCTTTGACATTAACAATATAAATATTATTCATTTTTTATTCATAAGCACTTTTTTAATTCTAAGTCATTTCAATAATGTTGTGTTAATATATAATGTAATCTATTACAATTTTTATTTTTTATTTATTTATTTTTTCATTTTTATTATTTATTATTTTTTGATTAATTTAGTCTTATTTATTAATCATCTATTAAAATTTTATTTTTTTCAGGATGTATAAAATAATTAATTGGAGGATGGATAAGCTGCATAATGAAGTTTCATGCTTTCGCAAGCCAAGTATCACATTATGATATATGACATGCTTTTGCCTAATTTAGCAATGGCAATGGGGATAAGGTGTCATCACCTATTCCTGTGTTGCGGAAATTTAAAAAAATTGAATTATTTTTAGTAATGCAGGAGATAATATCCAATAATTCTGAAAACAATTCTTGAACAATCGAAATTATAATAATTGAAATTACGACGATAAATAAATTGTTAGATACTCAACTTTGATATTTTTGGCTGACTCATTGTGTATCTAAATAATCCTGATGTTACGGAATTTATTCGCCAGAATTCGATAAGTAAAATCAATACAATATTCGGCAAAACAAGATCCGGATAACCATTTTAGACAAGGTTTAGAATAATTATCTATATTCCTTCTTCTTACAATTAGATACATATAAATATTCAAGCCGAATTCGGTAAGACAATGGAAAAGAAGAAGAACAACAGCAGAAAGAAAAAAAAAGTTTCTCAAAATGTGCAAAAAGTCGAATTGTTGATTAATCGTTAAGTCAATTTATTATAATTTTTCTTCTGAAATTATTGTAATCCGCGCGTTATTAAATAAACAGAATATTGTAAATCTGTGTTGACCTTCTTTTGTCCAAATCGCAATAATACTAAATGTAATACTGATATTATTTCAATTTTATTTAACGCCATTATTTTTTTATCATAAACACATTGTAATAAATAAGATATTTCATTTTATTCGAATACTAAGTTTAACTTTATATGCTAAGTTTGGATATTCTGAAATCATCAACCACATAATATCTATCTATATTCTAATTGGAGTATTCTATGAATCCTTCTAATGCTATTCCTAGATCATTTATTATAATAAAAATTATACTTGCTTTTAATAAAATATTTTTTATTATTTATATTAATTTTTCTTAAATATTATTCTTATTTTATTTTTATTATAAAATAATTAAATAACAAAGAACAATATCTTAATATTTTCTTTTATTATTTATATTCATATTATTTACATATTTTTATTTTTATTATTTATATATAAAGTGTTATAGTTTCTTAAATTATTATGATATATTATGATTATTATGATATTAGATTAAAATCTTCTGAATTAATTTTTATATTATAAAAGAAAATGCATGCATTATGAAAATTTTTCTAATAAGTTTTGATAAGTTCTATATTCTAAAAAACTTTTTTATATATCTTTTCATAATTATTAATATTTAATAATCGAATATGTAATATATTTTTATATGTCTTCAAATCAATTTATATTAATACATATACTATCATATACTGTATAATTTAGTAGTACATGTTGTTATATGATATTATTATATTTTATAAAAGAAAATTGACATTATATCATTTAGGTTAGTTAAATCAGCTAATTGAATTATTGAAAATGTATCTTATATTAAATATAATTGATCTTTCGCTTTTTTTGTTCTAATATTCATAGACTACTACATATTTCTATTCTAATATCTAGACTATAATATATATATAAGATAATTGATGGTATAATGGAAAAAATATGATTTTACATTAAGAAATGAATTGAAAATAGAATAAAATTAATTATAGAATAAAATTTTATCATATATACTTTTGTTTTTGAGAAAATTTATTTTAAATATAATCATTATATTTATTCAATATACATAAATAATTTACATAATAAATACATAAAATATACATAAATTTTTTGATTAAACATATCTCGCTGTAGCTTATACTTTCGGTTCAGATTTTATTTATTCTACTGAATAATCAAGAATATACAAAATAAGATTAATGTATAACCTAAACCTTAATCTTAAAAATTAGACAACAAATATATTATCAATAGAAATTATAGAATTTTTCAAAAATTGCTATAATATACAAACTTAAATTCCTTGAAAATCATTATGATCAATAGTTTAAATAGTTCAAATTATTATAAAATTATTATGATAGATTGTAGTTTTTTTTACAAAGTTTAAACATAATAGTTCAAAATATGAAATTCGTTTAATCTTAATTAATCTTCATCAATTAATTCCAATCCCTCTTTAGCTAAAACTTCACCACCTTTACTTCCGAAAATACCACCAATAATTCCACCTCCGATTCCACCAACGACTGCACCAATTGGAGCACCAATCGCTGCACCAATTGGACCACCGCATGCAGTTCCAATCATAGTGCCTGTCTGTGCACCAGTCCATGCTCCACCAGCGCCACCTGCTGCACCAAGACCCCAACCTCCGGCAGCACTTGAAATTGTTTTAATCGTTTTAACTGGGACTTTTCTTGTACGTTTTACATCTTTTAAAATCTGTTTTATATATACAATAGTATCTTTAATTTCTTGTCTTTTTGTTGAATCAGTTTCAGTCTTAAATGCTTTTTCCAGTTTTTCAATGGTTTCTTCTAATTCGAGGATTATTTTATTTGCGTTATCACGAATATATAAATCATCTTTAAATGCACGACCAATACGGTAGGAATCAACTACTACGGCAGCTATGGTTAAACCCGCACCAACGTATTTTAAGGTTGTATTAATTGCTTTAGCTCCCTCTATCACCCCTTCTGGAACCTGAATATGTGGATCTGATGTTCTAGGCCTACCTTGTGGATTGATATTAATATGGGGTGATGTTTTTTGTCCGGTATCGAAACGAATAGTAGGTGCGCCTATAAATGTATAATTTTTAAATTAATTTTCTTTTTTAAAATTATATAATTTATAAAATTATATTTTCTATAAACTTACCAGTACGAGTTCCATCGGCTCGTATTCTACCGAGATTCATATCTCGAATACCGGCAACTGTTTCTGCATTCAAATGAGCATCAGGAATCAATTTAAATCTAGTTTGCATAGCGCTTCCAGATTTAATTCCTTCAAGTATTGTCCCTGTTAATTGCTGTTTTTCATCTTCACTTGTATTAGGCATTTTGATATTTTTTTTTATATATATATCTTATATTTGTAAATTCACCCTGCAAATTTAGATTTCAATCAAAAAACGAAAAGAAGAATGTAAGAAAAAAGTAGCTAAAAAATTTAAAATCATAACAAATATAAAATTAATTGACTTATCAATACAAAATTGATTTATTGAATTTATGATATAAAAGAGTATCTCGTAATTTTCGAAAATATATAAATCATAAAGATATAAATGTAAAAGTTATATATCTAAAACTATGTAACCAAAATTTTAGAATTGAAAATTATGAGTAATATTTTGTTTTTTGTCATAAATAAAATTCTATAATTTCAAATATTTAATTTTAAAAATGAAAATATTTTCATATTATTTATCAAAAATAAAAATAATATAATTGTATTTTCAATGATTTGTTAATTATAGAATATTTTTTTTAATGTGTAACACTTTCAGATATAAGATTTTATTTTATTTTACATTTGCAAATTTTGCATATTTTATATATTTTATTTTTTTAATGTAGATACAAAAATATATTGCATATTTTATTTGCTCCATCCTGCATCATTACAAACTTATATTTAAAAAAAAAAAAAATACAGTCAAATTTCAAGAATTGGTTTTAATTTTTCAAAGTAATATTTTATTAATAAAAAAAATTTTTATAAATATATAACATATTGTAGTTTACATACTCATAATAGTTTTTATGTGTCATATAAAATAAAATTATCATTAATTTTGGTAGCATAACAGTTGAATTTGCGTAAAGAATAATGAAGATTTCTGACTGCAGTCAGATTAAGATTAAGTACTACTTTTAAATTAGTGTAAAACCTAATATAAAACCCAAAATAAAAAAAAAACGCACATTCGTTTAAGATTAGATTGATGGAATAGGAAATAATAATTTTATAAATGACATAGAATTTATATTTTATGAAGTATGTGAAAAGAGTTTGTTATAATGGAAAATCGTAATTAATATTTAAATACAATCATAGACAATCATAGACAGAGTTATGAAACAATCTAAAATTTTAAAAGAACATATTTTAAAAATGAATTTTACATTGTGTAAAGCAATAATCATTATAAGTATATAAATTGACGACATCTTAATAATGAAATATAACCAATTTCTTATAAAATATATATATTAGAAATAAATATATATATTGATATTATAAATTACATATTAAAATTAATAAATATTTAATAAATTAACTATTTTCAAAAATTACTTGAATAATTATTGTAAATTCTTAATACAAAATTATAAATGATTGCTGAAAATTACATATGGATTTTAATAAACGAGATAATAACATATGTATTTGTTGTAGAAAATTTGCGAGAATAAAGTAAATATCTTATTTACTTTCGAATAAAAATTAAAAAAAAACAAACTATGCAACGATTCTCTCAACGATTATCGATTTAACTATATGAATGGTATAGCTATATAGTTTTTGAAAATAGACTATTATTACTAGCAATTGATGCAATTGTTAATATATATTAACAAATGATAAATTTTAATAAAAAATAATAAATTGAAATTAAAATTAAAATTAAAGAAATTAATTTCAAAATATAATTTATATTATATTACATTGCAATATTTAACTTAAATAGGCTTAAAAAGAGATATAAATATGTTTCTTTTTTCCGTTAATAAATCATTTGAAATCATCTATATATATTTTCACAAAAAAAATATTTATGAAAAAATTTTTTCAATATTGATTATTATATCGAAAAAAATTATCGAATATCCTACTTATATTTATAACGATATGAGAGATATGAGTTGAAGTTACGATATTTTATGCCATATGTATTTAAAAGAAATAATTCAATACAGCTACAATTTAATAGATATTTAAAAAAAATATATTTACAAACATAAATATATATAGATTTATAGTATTAGAATATATAAGAAACAGCAAAAAATAATCATTAGTTTTGAGAAAAAGAAAATAATTGATTTCTATATATATCTGAAATATTCAGATGAGATGACTTTCACTTTGTGAAATGTGATGAATAAAATAAATAAAAAATACACATTATAAACCTAATAAAAAGTATTTCTTTGTTTTTTGCATAAAACATTTTTATACTTTATTATATATTCACAAATTCTAAATATTTTTCACGAAATCTTCTCACAAGTCAAATATCAAATCCAATAAACTTATTTTGGTATATTGATATATTGTTTAGTATGTCCATGAGTTTAGTATTCATCTTGTATTGGAAAATTTGAAAAATTTTAATCGAAAGATATTTTAAGAGCATAAATATTTTGTCAAAATCAAAACTATTAAGTAATATACATATATCAATATACATATATATATTGATAATACTAGCATTTTTATTATATAAATTTTGTAAAATGAATTTACATATAAAAATATATTAAATATGATGTTATTATTATTGTATAAATATAATTATATACTAATTCTGTAAACAGATATAAATATATTAATGTAAAGTTAAAGATATTAATGTTAAAGATAGCATGTAATATTAGAATAAAAATTTTACGATCCATTTTTAATAGAAATAGATTTCTTTAATTTTTTATTTGTATAAATATTTATCTCTTATTACTTTAAATATTCTATTATCTATTATGAATTTAAACTTAGAACTAAACCACAAAATCCGGAAAAAAAATTTTCTTTGTAACTATCATTTATATTTATCTATATTTTATAAAATTATATTTTATAAATATTTTACAAAGAGATACAACGTAAATATAAAGTATATAATGATAAAATCAAAATTAGAAAAATTTATATTTTGCAAAAAAAAAATGTAAATTTTTAGAATAACATAACAATTTCTGAAATTATTTATATATTTAAAAACTATACAAAATCGTCTAAATATTTAAACTTTCCTTATTTTCCAATAAAAGTTGATAAATAAAATTGGAACTCTTCTAAATTATAATAAAAAATATTTAGAATCTTGTAAAAAAACGCACTTACGTTCGAGTTGTGAATAATCACACACTATCAAAATATAAAACTGAATGTGAAATATCACATTATATATCACTTTCATATCGCAGTATCTTATCATAATAAATATATAAATATAAAATATATATATACATATATATATATATTATTTATATATACACGATATATATATGTCTATAATATGCATTAATGATATTTTATGTAACTTTGAAAAATTACATTCTTATTAAAAATGCATTTATATTATTTAAAGTATTATTTCGCTTGAAAATAATGAAATTGATAAGATTTTTATTATTTTACATAAAGTACAATTTTAAAATAAATTTTTAATATAAAATCTAATACTAATTCTTTTTTTTTAGTAGAATAGATATTTTATATTTATTCTTCAATATATTATTTCTTCATTAATTTTAATGGATTTGAAATATTTTAGAATCAATAATATTTTGAATAACTTTTTAATAACTATATAAAAAAAAGAATATTTCTTTTCGATTTCTATGATTAAAATATAATAAATAAGATTTAATATAATTATCTCAATAAAGATTTCAAGCTAAGATTTAATTTTTTAAATGAAACGCTATATATTTTTTTATATTATTATATGAAAGTATACTTCAAAATAAATTCAAGCATATATGTAATATAAATGAATTTCAAAATCATACAAAATAAGACAAATAATTCAATCATTTTTATTGTGATTGATTAATTTGTCTTATTAATAAGAGTTCATGAACTTATCAAATGTACAATTTAATATACAATTATCTTTCAACTACTATGTTTCAAATATTGACTTCTACTAATTATCACAATTACGTTTGTCTTTATTATCATTATATATTTTGGATTTCTCTATTTATTAGAATATTTATTTAATATATTTAATGTTTAAACATAAATAATATTTGAATAATGTTTTCAGTTGAAGAAAAAATAAATTATAATAAAAATTAGATACGCATTTATTATTAATGTAATTTATAAATGTATTTTATTAATGTAATTTATAATTGTATATTTGAAAAATAATATTTGAAATATGTTATGAAACCTTATCAATAAGACAAATTGATGGAATATTGAATGGAATATTATCAAATAATTGAATTTTTTTGTTTCTTTTCTGTTTTTAAAGAAATTCCTAATTTCATTATGTGATAAAAGCATATTTATATGATATTTGAATTATTTATATGATATAAAAAATTTATAGCATTCTATTTGAAATTAAAACAAATGCAGCTATAAAAAAATTATATAAATCATTATATCGTTTATAAAAAACATAACAACTTTTTAATTCTCTGTACATTAGCTATTTTTAAGAAAAATACTATGCAAAAAATGATTATAAAATATTATTTCAATTGCATTTCTATACATATAGATTTATGATAGTACATGCATTAAGATGCAATTGCTATTTCTATCTGTTATAAATAAGGTACTTATTTATATGAATAAACATCATCTTTTAAGTTTTTGGATTAAAATAAAATCGAGATTTATGTATCATGTGGTTTTTTATGTAAAAAAAATGTAATATTTTATAACAGATATTTTTTAATATCTTGCATCTAATCTTATTGCATTTAATATCTTTAATATCTATTAATTGCATTTTTAGATTGATGTGAACATGTTTTATAAAAATCTCGATTAATATATATTATAAAGGAAATAATTCCGATTATCTCGATTCTAATATATATTGTCAAAGATAAACTAAAAATTTCAAAGTAACTTTTTCTTAGAATATCTTAATCGGTGCAGCGATTTTTAAAGTTACAGCGATATATGAATGACGCATGAATTCACGAAACTGATAATTTAAAAGAAATTATATCAGAAGTTGAAATAAAAAGTGAACAGATAACAACAGATAAAAAATATATGAATTTCCTTAAAATAATTATAGAAAACAAATTTTATCAAATTTTTCAATTTTATTAAATTTAATTTTAATAAAATAATTAAATTGAAATAAAAAGAAGCTAAAATATAACAAACAAAGATAAATG